CCCCCATGCTGTGCTCCACCTCCAGTCAGTGGTACATCCTTTACACTCAGTAGTACATTGGAATAAATGTTTGCAAGTGTTTTAGTCGCAACCTTCTCTCTTTACCTGTGTTTGTTTGACCAGAGTAGGAACAGATAACAGATTACAAGGAAAAGATAAAAATAAAAAAAAGTATACAAAATTAGGGCTGCGGAAATTAACAATTAATTTCTCGATTAATTGTTAAAATTTTTGATCGATTAAAATTCTTTTGATCAAAAATGAACTCACCTCTCCGCCGGAGATCCGGTGACGTCACTGACATCGACGTCACCGGACTCCTCCCCCCTTCCCCAAGTGGCTCACGAAGGGCTAACGAAGGGAAGGGGGGAGGAGTCCAGTGACGTCCATGTCCGTGACTTTACCGGACTCCTCCCCCCTTCCCATCGTTAGCCGACGGAGCCATGTATCCATATAACACAGTAGATTAGGTTGATCACAAGGGAATGTGTATTATTTTAAACTCTTTGGCAAGTAACACCCTATATGTGTTTTAAGGGAAACTGGCAAGATAGAAACATGGGAGCAGTCATTGCCGACTTGGTTTTTAAGATGCAAGTTCCAGGGCTGTAATCTTTATCCTTTCTTTTGCAGCAGCTTCTTAAATAGGCGGTGGAGGAGAAGGAGGTCACAGTAGCAATGCGCGACTACCTTGATGTGGCAGAGCCTTTACCTCTCACTTTAGGCTAGTAAAGCAGAGGCATTTCTTTATTTATATACATACATACATACTGTATAACTACATTTAAAAAAAAAAAAAGTGTAAAAAAAAAGAGATTGCAGATGGGAATCTGCCACTGTGGGGCAACCTAGGCCAGGATTTGTTTGTTAGATTTTAAAAAGGAGGGTCTGCAGCGCAAAGAGCTCAGACTGCCAGACTTGTGACTGGTTATAGTGTAGCTTTTATTTGCAGCTCTAGATAGTTGACATCTAGAGAAGCCTATGCATTATATTTGTGGCTGTTTCTCTCAAATAATACATTCTAACATCTAACATTTATTTCAAGATAAAACTTGCCTTATCTCTCCGTCTTATATTGTGGCCTAACCAGGCTGCTTACAGACTGTCCAGCCACTGAGCAATATCTGTGGTGATTGTCTCTCATAAGTTTCTTTGCCAGATAAAACCTGCCTTGTGTCTTTCTATTTTCTGCATATTCAAGTGCTTAGATTGACTGTTTTGATGCTAGCCAATTTCTGCTAAATACATACTTGAAGTGGCTATGTGCATTCTGCTTTGAGATTTCATTACACTTTGAAAATAACTGTGTGGTACTGCAAAAAAGAAGCTCACAAACTATGTTATTAATTGTTGTGTCACTGGCCAAGTTGTAGAAAGTTGATTTTATTTTACTTTATCCTAAGAGTAAACTTTCCTATAGTTTTGACATCTGCTGTGGCTGCTACATCTACTGGTAAAGTTAGGCCTATTAACACTTGAGGAAAAAATCAGGTGTCACTGTCAAAACTACATAAAAAGCCTTTTCTTCAAGTTTAAATGAATCAGACTGAGGTTTTTCTGCTGTTTTTTAAGCCAAGCTAAATTAAATAACAAAACAATTACACATTACAAATATGTGATGTCAGAATACGGTGTCGCTAACACTGCATGAAAATTATACTGTTCCGTAACACCCCATGCATCTCCAAAGCTAGTAATTTAGGGAATTTATGTTTTTTATTTTGCCCTCTAAAGTTCATTATCTGTTTTGTTGCCAGGTCCATTTTTGCTTTTTTGTTTTTGTTTAAATGCACATTTGTGGCCTGAAAATTGTTTAAACCACCAAAGCTATAGATGTCCTGAAAGCAGGGACTCTGTACAATAAAATGGTGGCATTTGCAAATTTTAATGTCGTGTGACATTAGTGTAACTGTTTATCAAACCCAAATTTATATTGCCCATTTTTTTTTGCTAAAATATAAAAGAATAGCTTAGCTGAGTAAACTGATACCGAACATGTTAAGGCAACACTTAAAAATCTTTTACAGGTCATCAATTTAGAGTTAACCATGAATAATGTTGCTAGAATTATTGCTTTCACTCTAGTGTGTACTGCGATACCTAACATGTGTTGCATAATTGCTATTTTCATACGTAGACGCACCTGATGCGTGCTTGCATTTGTATGTGTGTACGCGGGGGGGGGGGGGCCTTACATTTTTTTTGTGTTCACATTTATTTTATTTAACTATTTGTTTTTTAGTTAATTTTTTTTGGTATCACATATGGGGCTTACAACTCGGCGCACATATCGGAGTCCCTGGAAGTGATCGGGCGGCTGTACAGCTGCCTGAATCACTTCCAGTATAGAGCAGACAGTCGGCTTTACAAATAAAGTATGTTATAGGTCGGCAGTGTTGAAAGGGTTAAAAGGTCCTTCTCCCCACCATACAGTATTGTAAACAAATGGTGTTTTGCTTTGCTAAATGTTCCATATGGCAGTGCCCAGCTCTCCATGCCATCTTTTGACAATGGTTTGCCTATTAACCCTGAAAATGGCCAGAAACTAGAATCAAGATTTTCCCCCTAAAAGACTACAAGGGGTTTCGCGGCTAAGTTTGGGTTTTGCTGATTTCAAGCAGGATTTGAAGAACATCCCCGCTAATCGAACCTGAGCAGATTTGCTTATTCCTTTGTATTCATATATTTGTATGCTGTTTGACTTTTTTTCTTCCCTACAGATAACATCATGATAGTTGGAATCATTTTGCCTCTCTTGCTGGTCGCTTTGCAGGCATCACTGACAGAACTGTCCTGCTCGTCATGCAGAGTTTTCACCCAGACCATGGAAGCTCAGGCTGAGAAGGAAATACTCCTAGAAATAGCCAAACAGAACATCCTGAAAAAACTTCACTTGCATCATCGGCCAAACATCTTAAACACAGTTTCTAAGGATAATCTGGAACAGGCTCTGCAGCAGCTGAGAATCAACTTGGATAAGGACCTGTCAGGAGAATTGCCAGCAGAAAATGATGTAGAAGACAAAGATGTAGACCATGGTCAAAGTTATGAAATGATCAGCTTTGCTGGAATAGGTATGTTTTATTGTGTTATATAAAATTTTTTTTTTTTTTTAATTAGAGATGCACCAAAATAAAGATTTCAAAAACAAAACCGAAATGAAAAAAAATGTCAGGCCGAAACTGAAATGTTTTCTACTCTAACTTTTTCAATGTTACTGTTCATTTATAACATGCAGATATAGTGTGATTACTATAACCACAATCATGAATGAATAGGAGGTGATGTAGATCACTTCCCATTCATTCATAATTGAGGATATAGTAAACATACTATGTCCTCAATTATTTACACTCAGCGATCACTGATCGCTGAGTGTTTGTACTCACTCTCCTTCCTGACAGCTGTCGCAGGAGGCTGAGCGAGTGGTGTGGGAGGAGAGCTCAGCCTCCTGTGACAGTGCTGTCTGTCTCCGCCCCCACACTGCTCTGCTGATCTGTGACAGGCTGAGCGGTGCGGGGAGGAGAGATGCCGGCTGCTCACAGCGCTCTCCTCCAGAAGCGCCCGGTCGCCTGTGACAGTTTCTCTCCTCCCTGCTGGGACACAGAGCAGCGCCCAGCGGGGAGGACAGAAAGAACGGATACACCGCTATATCGGCAAGAAAATGGCACTTTCGGCATTTTGCCCAAAGTGCCATTTTCGGATCTGCAGGGTCTCAGGTGGGCTGCACACCTCTTACCTGTCAGCCCCAATCCGCTGTCCACCTCCATGGTAGCTGGCAGGCTACCTCCTCCGTCGCCGGGTGCCTCTTCTTCCATTGTTAGGCCCACCTCCTCCGCTTCTGATGCCGGGCCCAGCCTTCCGTTCTCCACAGCTGCTGGCCAGACTTAGATCACTGACAGGTTGTCGGTGATCTAACAGCGACATGTTCCTCCTCACACCCGCCAGTGACAGCCAGCAGCCTGAGATGCCATAGCAACCCAGGCGGTCCGCAGGGCATCAGGTGAATGTCCTGGCTGGGCGCCCTGGGCCCCATAGCGGCCGCCTGGGTCACTATGGCGATTGTTATGCCACCGATTAAGTTAATGAAGTGTAGTAACTTATACCAACCAATCAGATTCCCCTTTTATCGGTTTGGACCTTTCAGAAATATAAAAGAAGGTTGTCTAGCTAGAATTCCTGTCACAAGCAATAACTTGCCAAAAACAGGACTGCTAAAAACAACATAAATAATACTAACCTACTTCCATGTGTTGCTCCATCACTGGCTGGCCAATTAGGGCCTGTGTCAGTGAGCTTTCAAAAGCTACATGGAGCATGATTTTCATCAGCTGCCAGTGATGAGACCGACGTACTCTCTTCATGAAGGTCTCATCACCGACTCTTTCAGGATGATGAGCAAGAGATCAGTGAATCTGTCGTTCCCATTGACTGATCTCTTTAACTTTCTGTTTCTATTTGAACCTCGAAGTGCTTAGTAATGAGCATTTCAGAGTTCAATGTTAAAACTCCAAGAAATTAAAAAACTTACCCTTACAGTAGTCCTACAACCACGCTGCAAGGGTTAAGTGCTCATTTTGTCTAGGAGAGTCAAATAAAGCAGATTAAGTCACCTGATCCTGAGTCCCATCTGGATGCTAGACCTGTCCCTGCAGACTCTTCTCCCCCAGGCCCCAGCGGTCTAAAGGACTGATGACCTCATGAATGTAGGTCCCTTGACTTGCATTAGATATGAGGACACCAAGGAAGATTCCACAGAGTGGAGGAGGGAGAAGTGAGCGGCAACTGCTGCAGGACTGAGGATCAGAGAAGTATATCATTTTTATTTGACTCCCCTGAACAAAACAAGCACTTAACCCTTGAAGTGTGGAGGTAGCCATACTGCAAGGGTGAATTTTTAAAATTCCTGGGGTTCTTTTTTAAAGTGCTGAGCTGCAGCAGAGGAGGCCACACACCACACTGCAGATAGTACCGTACTATACATTACTGTATCGCATGTGACCGCACACTATGACTGTGAAGCCACCTTGAGGTTTTCAGTGTAAGTCACTTATGTACAGTTTTGTGTAAGTCTGATTTTCACTGTTTCACAAAGGGACCATTTAAAATAATAAAAATGTGTGTGTGCAATAATAATGATTTTAGTGTATTTGTATAGATAACATTCAATTGTACTAGTCCTGTGCTTTCAGGAAATATATGATCTGGGGGGTCTTTTGACGAACTTTCAAAACTATAATTGAAAACTGGTGGAAAATGACAAAAAAAGTGAAAATAAAAATATCAAAAATGGTCCAAGAAGCTGAGGTGAAAAATGGACAGGGCCCAGCAGCGAAAGGGTTAAAGGGACATTTTCATGAAGCAAAACACTATTTTGATTAATGATGGAAGCAGCTATTTTGTTACTTATCTGCCCCTGAACTAGTATGTGGTACATGAGAAGAAAATTGGCCACTTCCATCAGAACCTATTATATAAAATGTATGTTTGTTTCATGACAAACCCTCCCCGCTAGAGTCACCCTCTGGCCACGTAGGTCCATGACATTGTGGTCACAATCTGTACTGTCCAGCAATGTCTGCCTGAGACTATGTTAGGCTGTGTGTGAGCTGTGATGTATTATTAAGAATAAAATAATCATACACTTCATTATTGAAGCTGAATTCTAGGTAGGTACAAAAACATCAGTATTTCACCTGGGTGTAGACTTATTTTATTCTTACACGCAACTGTCATAAGTGATTAAATTAGTCATGATATTAGCTTTTTTCAGTTCTTGCAGAACAGAACTCGACTAGGAGAAGGTGGCCAACACCCTGAGCCAGCTACACTCTGCATATCACAGTGTTGTTACTCTAACACACTTAGATTTCTTACAGGAGAGAGCAGAAGGGTGACATCATAAGTGTGTGCTGTCCTTACATGGTTAATTCTGCAACCTGGATTAAGCCTTACGCTGCCTAGGCCCTTTTTTTTTTTTTTACACACCTGATATAATCCACATTTTAGGCCTGAAAGTTACTTCAAACCCCAAAGCATTATATATTTTCTGAAAGCCAAGACCCTATTGAATACAATGGTGGCAGTTGCATATTTGTATGTTGCATGTTATTAGCGCAACTCTTTATCACACCCAAAAATATAGTGAGGAATGCACTAAAGTTAAATTTAGTGCCCCACAATACAATATAATACTTGATTTTTTTTACAAAATATAAAAGATGAAGTTACAATGAGTAAATAGATACCCAACATGCCCAGGTTAAAAATTGTGTGCGTTCATGAAGCGGCAACAAAATTCAGTAACCCAAAAAGTCCATAGACGACGCTTTAAAAGCCCCTACAGGTCATCAGTTTAGAGATACACATATATGCCCTAGAATATTGCTTGCACTCTATCATGTACGGCAATACCCAACATGTGTAGCGTTTTCGTACATAGGCGCACCCGACGTGTTTACGTGAATGCGCTCGGGGGTGTTTACTTTAATTGCTATCACATAGGGGGGCTTACAAGCCCCCTATATGATAGCATATTTGTGGTGGCAGGTCCTTCTTAAGGTGCCACTAGGGGTTCAAAAGTGTCACCTTTCCACTTTAAATAAGCTATTGAAGTACAACTCGCACTTCAATAGCTCATTGCTCAGCTTCAGTAGCCGCGTCGCTCCTGGTCCTACAGAGCAGGGAGGAGATCGGTGAATGGATGTTCGCCACTCTCCTCCCCAGCTTCCCGCCGGCACCTGACATGCCGGTCCCGGGCCCACAGGAGGGGCAGCAGAGTTCGAAAAAAACCGACGAGGGTGTCAGACGGAAGGGGCGGCCACTTTACTGGCCCGTAGAAGCAATCTGGCGGCAGCTGAGCCGCCAGAATCGCTTCTATTGTAAAGCCGACAGCTGGCTTTACAATTGTAAACAGTGTCCTGGCGACTTCATAGTTACATAGTTACATAGTTAGTCAGGTTGAAAAAAGACACAAGTCCATCGAGTTCAACCTATAGAGAGAAAAAAAAGCCTAAACAGAACGCTATGCCCACAATTACACCCTGTTGATCCAGAGGAAGGCAAAAAAAACCCTATAAAGCATGGTTCAATTTGCTCCAACAGGGGGAAAAAAATTCCTTCCTGATCCCATAAGGCAATCGGATATTCCCTGGATCAACAATCTCTGATGCCTAATATACTTATAATAACTCAATATCCAGTAATATTCTGTGCATTTAGGAATACATCCAGATATTTTTTTAAACAATTTACCGAGCTAGCTCGAACCAGCTCCTGCGGGAGTCTATTCCACATTTTCACAGCTCTAACTGTGAAGAATCCTTTTCGTATGTAAAAGTTAAACCTCTTTTCCTCCAGACGCAAAGAGTGCCCCCTTGTCCTTTGCAGTGACCTTAACGTGAATAATTTGGCACCAAGCTCTTTATATTGACCATTTATGTATTTATACATGGTGATCATGTCCCCCCTTAGTGGCCTCTTCTCCAGAGAGAACAAATTCAGGTCAGCTAATCTTTCCTCATAGTTGAGCTCCTCCATGCCTCTTATGAGTTTAGGCGCCCTTCGCTGCACTTTCTCAAGTTCCACAATATCCTTTTTGTAAACTGGTGCCCAAAACTGAACTGCATATTCCAGATGAGGTCTTACTAATGCTTTGTACAGGGGTAGGATTATGTCTCTATCTCTGGAGTCTATACCTCTTTTAATACAAGAAAGTATTTTGCTTGTTTTAGAAACTGCAGCTTAACATTGCATGCTGTTATTGAGTCTATGATCTACCAGTACACCCAGATCTTTCTCCATCATTGACTCTTCATAGACTTCAGCTCTAGTCTGTTTAAACAGGCCCTCTGCCAATGACGTACTTTGTACGTCAGTGGATGCGCAGGGGTTAATTTGGTGACCAAACTACATTGCTTAACTGCTGTGGAAAAAGTGAGGTCACTGACCTGGCTTTGCTGTGTGTCATGGAAACTGAATCACAAGACCGGCTTTAAGCCCCTTTCTGACAGGTCATTTTTTTAGGAAGATCTGATCGGAAGCCCAATGTCACTCTATTGGCAGCCAGATCTAAACGTACGTGTGTCTGTTTACATCCAATTACCCCTGACACCATCCAATTACCCGGACACATGTCTGCTTACAGTCCACTTCCCATAGAACTAACATAGGTCTGATAAATTCAGTTTTTTTTTTCCACCATACATCCTAATGTACTTTTTGTAATTTAAAGAAAGGGATCAAAGTATTCCATATATTATGATTGTATCTTTTACAGATAGCTTCCAAGATGTTCCATTTGTTCTTCACTTCCATCTCTCTGCTGACAAAGACAAGCATGAGGAGATATATCAGGCATATTTATGGCTTCATCTGAAAAGAACTTTTCGCAATAAGATGACAATTTCAGTGACTAGTAAACAGCAGCCGGGTGACCAGTCAGCAGAAGGAGACACAATCAACGTGAAGGTGAATAAAGCAGGATGGTTTAGGGTGTATCTGCCAATGCTCACAGGTAAAGCTTTATCAGTGGGAAAAGAAAATATATACCTGGAATTGAAGTGTCAGGAATGCCAGAATCTATTGATGATGGATAACGTCATTCATGGTCGTCTCCCATTCCTGGCCCTAAAAGTGCGCAACAAACAAGAGGAATCCCGAACTCGAAGACATGTTACTGAATGCACTGGTGACATAGATATTTGTTGCCGCAAGAGGTTTTATATTTCTTTTAAAGATATAGGCTGGAGTGACTGGATCATTAGCCCAAAGGGGTACAATATGGACCTTTGTGAAGGCAGGTGTCCTGTCCACCTGGCCAGAGCACCAGGGATTTCAGCATCTAGTCACACTGCTGTCTTCAGCCTCATAAAGGCAAACAACATATATTCCAATCTCAGCCTTTGTTGTGTGCCAACAAAGCGAAGAAGTCTATCCATTCTCTACTTTGATGTAAATAACACCATTGTCAAGGCAGACATTCCCGATATGATAGTGGAGAGCTGTGGCTGTACTTGAAAAAACTCACTTTCTTAGGTTGTGTCTTCTCAAGAGAACCTGTCCTTCACACGGTTATTAAATTATGCTATTAAAATTATTGCTGTTAAAGTAGAACTAAACTCTCTCAAAAGAATACTTGTTTTGTAGAGCGCTGTAAATAAAACACGATTGCATAATTTTTTTGTTATATAAATACAGTTTTGCCCTTACTTTGCACATGGTTTTTGTCCCTACGCTGTGCACATCCTGTAGACTCTTTGTAGGACCGCCCTTTGGATGTATTTGCACTCCCGCAGCTAAACATCACAGTTTTACTGTGGAGACTACAGCAGAATGTGCCAGCGACAGCTGCTTGTGATCCAACTTATTAGTGCTCAGGGAAGGGTGACAACACTGCGGCTGTATGATTAAGCCTTGCCACACTAAAAAAGGAAGTGTCTATAGATACATCTTGCTGGTATGATTTAATTAGAAGAACATATTAAACAAAATACACTTTTGGACATAACATGAACAAGTGCAACAACATATTTGGTTTAAGTGTTTGGGTTTAGATATAGTTTAAAGAACTTTTCACTTTAATAAAAATCAATTTGATTATAGTGCTGGCAGTCTGGCACTGATTCTTTCCAGTGCAAACCTCCAGTAAAGGGCAACCAGTATAAATAGCTAAAGAGCTGTGCGAATGAACGTCTCATCACTATATGACCACTAGATGGAGCTGAGGAGCATAGATAATTCCTATGCTCCTCGACTCCATCTAGTGGCCATACAATGACATGACGCTTGTTCGTACAGGGAAGAGCTAAAGCAAGCATTTACCACTTAACTGTCAGGGTGTCTTTCCCTTCCTTGTCCAGTTACGTGCAGCATGGCTTGTGTAGTGTTTCTGACACCGCTGTTCCTCTTTGGCACCCTTTTATGACCAAATCCGTCAACATCATCATTCTGCAACTACTAGCAAAACTCTTCACAAATTCCTGATTCAGAGTGATGATGCAAACACCAGCTCACTATTTAACCATCACCTTGTCCATTCAGTCTCCAACCTTGCATGTGTTCTGATCTACCAAGTGCGCGGCAGTTCATGTTCTCCGTGTATGACCCTGGCTCTGGCTGACTGAACGTGCGACTTGTGGCCGTCAGCGACTAGTCAATGTTAGGGCAGAACGGAGAGTGGCAAGACTGGTACAAGACAACAGAAGGGCAACAGTGCAGTGTCAGATTCCTCGCATCACCTTTCAACATCTCCTGGAGTCACGAGGCGGCCCAACGAAGTCATCTCGTGGAGTTATCTCGTGGCCCAAGGAAGTACTGATGGGGTGGTCATAATAATCAAGCCACTCAGTGTAAAGCTTAAACTCTTTTATGTAGCCTTAGATACAGCAGTAAAGGATTAGAACCCCCTGTTAAATAAATCTTCCAATTTGGGCAACTATTCCAGGGGGAACTGTTTAAGAGGAAAATTTTGCGGGCTCAAGGGACAGCTGCTTTGGGCCCCACAACAATGATTGGGCTTAAGGGCTTGTTCACACCATTTTCTGGAGCAGATCTGCAGACGCGGTGCTATGCGTGCAGGGCGTTTTTGACGCGTTTTTTGATGCGTTTCAGTAAAAAATAAAAATTTGGGAGTTGAGCTGTCAGTATGTTAGCTGCAGTGTGGTGCATTTTAATTGTGTTTTTGACGCGTTCGTGCATTTCCGATCCGTCTCCGGACCGGACAAAATGTGACTTGCAGTATTTTCTCTGTCCGGACCGGAACGGACTGCGCAAGTGAGAACTGTAGCCCATAAAACACATAGGTATACATTGGGATGCATTTTGAGTGCAGGAGAGCACGGTTCTAGTCTGGACACAATCCGAACGTCGTGTGAACAGGCCCTTAGGCTTATGTACACTTTAAAAAGTATGGATTACAAGAAGGAAGTGTAATTGCCCACAACTGACAACTGTCAATGTAAAATGTAAATGCTAAATATAAAAAAACACAAAAATATTAATACCTTAAAGTGACACTAAGCGCAGGAGTTAAATCCTAAAAATGCATTGAAGTAACTTAAAGGAGAACTATGAGGTGAGTGCTTTTCACTCACCTCATAGTTCTAGCCGACCTGTGACAATGAGATTGTCACAGGTCGGCTCAGTAGATCGGGAGGTGAGCAAACACATACTGGCGCTTGCTCACTTCTCTATCCTGTCACAGCTCTCAGCGCTAACTGGCGGAACGGACGGGGGAGGGGACGGGTACAGCTGCCTCTGCCTTTCGATAGGCAGAGCCAGCTGTCAGTCACGCAGCTGGGCGGATCACGGCACAATTGTCGGGACCCGCTTCAGCTGCGGCGTCTCAGTATACTGCGAGCAGCTGCTCGCGGTATACTGCGGCGTCTCAGTATACCGCGAGCTACAGCTCGCGGTATACAGAGCCTAGGGTGATGGGAGGACGCTAGTTTGTGTCCTCCCGTTACCCTAAGGAGAAATATGGGGAAAAGACTTAACCCCATAGTTCTCCTTTTAACTATTAACAGAAATGTATCTTATTTGTGTATCACTCAGCTGTAGATCCTCAGATCATCTCTGAATTGGTGCTGACACTGTCCTTCGTTCTGGAGGGTGGCTACTTTTGTTCCCCATGGTCCCTGTGTGTGTTGTAAAGTAGTCACCGCTCCAAACTCACTCCTGTGATGGACTATGATCTTACGTTTAGTTTACTAATTTTAAGTTTAGTGTTTCTTTAATCTAAAACACATGATGGTCTCTAAAATCCACTGAAGGGGCCATCAGTTTTTAGACTCCCTGATCTAAGGTTTCTTACACGGACTGATTAAATACACAAAGTGGTACAATTGAGTGGTTTTAGTAAAATATATTTGGTTTCCAAAATATGGATACGGAAATGTGGATACATTTTCCTGATACTTGTAGTATGTAGCAGTGACCACATTCACACATACTCAATGGTATTTTTTAGGTGCGTCATCCTTGTATTTGTGGAGATGGAATAAACTGATTGTGTCAACATATTCTGCAAATGTGTAATTTGTTTCTTGTGAGAAGAGGTTGTGGGCCCCACAAGCTCAGCTCGTATGGCAATTTGTAGTCAGCAGGAAGCATAATCCTTTTCCAAAATCCCAATAAAGGTTGAAATGTTAAAGGAGAACTATGAGGTGAGTGCTTTTCACTCACCTCATAGTTCTAGCCGACCTGTGACAATGAGACTGTCACAGGTCGGCTCAGTAGATCGGGAAGTGAGCGAACACATACCGGGTTCGCTCACCTCTCGATCCTGTCACGGCTCTCTGCCGTGACAGGGAAGGGGCTGGATTCCCCCTTCCCCGCTCCGATCCGCCAACGCTGACTGGCGGAATGGATGGGGGAGGGGGCGGGTACAGCTGGCTCAGCCTCTAGATAGGCAGAGCCAGCTGTCACTCACGCAGCTGAGCGGATCTCGACATCGATGTCGGGATCCGCTCCGGGTGCGGCGTCTCAGTATACCGTGAGCTGTAGCTCACGGTATACTGAGCCTAGGGTGACGGGAGGACGCTAGTTTGTGTCCTCCCGTTACCCTAAGGAGAACTATGGGGAAAAGCCCTGACCCCATAGTTCTCCTTTAATAAAATGAATAAGCAAAGTGTATCCACAAGTGATCTGCACAGGGAAGCAACTAGTTCATATTTATTATTATTAGGGCTTCTTCACACCAATTGCTTTGCGTTCCAGAGCGGTAGCTGCTGGATCGCACCGCGATCCCTCACAAAACTTCCCCCTGCGTTCTGGGGTTGGAGGTCCATACTTCTTTGCTATTCAATTTCAACAATCTGATGCATCTTCTCTGTAGTTCTGAAAGGGTGCCACTATCAGGAACAGATTTATTTTCTTTTTATGTAACCCTTGATGGGGATAGAATAATAGAACTCCTCTTCAGTTTCTCGACAAGGAACTGACACCATCTGCTTCCTCCTGATTTCCTCCTTACCGCCATACACAGCAAGCTATTGGTCCTTAAAGAGAAACTCCAGGATCTTTAAAAGTTGACCCTTCCAGTGGGCCTACCCCATGCACTGCAAGGGTTAACTTTTCTGTTTTTGTCTAGGGGTTCAAATAAAGAAAATATAACTACCTGATCCTCTATCCCACCTGGCTGCTAGACCAGTCCCAACAGCCTTTTCCTCCCTGGGTTCCAGTGGCTCAATCCTCACTGACATCATTACATTCACTTGCATTAGATGCGTGGACGACGAAGAACATACCACAGCCAGAATGGTGGGGGAGAGCGGTGAGCTGCCACCACTGCAGGCTCAAGAATTAGGTGAGGGTATCTTCTTTCTTCTGTTTCCTAAACCAAAACAAGCAGTTAAGCCTTGCAGTGCGGGGCTAGCCCCAGTGAATGGGTTAACGTTTGCAAATCCTGGAGATCTGCTTTACAGCTGTTAGAAGAATTGTGTGGCTCATTACAGCCCTGAACCAAAACGTAGTTAGCAAAGGTTTGGCTCTTTAAGGGCATGTTCACACCGAATGTGATGCGTTCCAGAGTGGTAGCTGCTGGAACGCTCCGCGATCCCTCACAAAACTTCCCCCTGCGTTCTGGGACGGGAGGGGGCGTAACTCAAAAAGTAGCAAGCCCTATTTTTTGCGTCTGCAGTTAAACGGAAGTTTTGTCACGCGTCCGAACGCACTGCGGGCGTGGGGGAGTGGAAGCGGTACCATTGAATTCAATGCACTGCCACGCCATGAAGATGTTTCACTGGTCATCCAACCAGCTTTCTCATTTCAGAAATCCATTCTGAATTGAGAATGCTGGTCGGATGACCAGTGAAACGTCTTCAGGAAAAATACAGCAAGTCCAGTTGCCTTGATTTATTTTATGCAGATATACTTTACCCACTTGCTGTCCGGGGCATTTTGAACACACATGATAAACAATATTTGAACACACATGATAAAATCTGAATTTTTGGCTAGAAAACAGCTTCAAACGCCAAATCAAATATATATTATTTCCTGGCTGCTCCATGTCAGCA